CAACCTGTTTTTTTGCAGAATACAGAAAATGAATCCCATAGTGACTGAGTACACCGCGTTCCAAATTATTATGCAAATTCTATTTAAGTGTCACAAAGATGAAATATTTTGTTTTTCAGTTTAACTCATGGATGGCATTGTGTGTCAGGGCTCTTTTGATCACTGAAAACAATCTCGGACACCTGTGATAATTAGATTGGCCGTGAGCCCAATTTAAGGAAAAACTACTAAAGGAGGGTGTTCCACATTACTAAGCAGAACACCATTTTCAAGCGATATGGGGAAGAAAAAGGATCTCTCTGCTGCCGAAAAGAGTGAAATAGTTCAATGCCTTGGACGAGGTATGAAAACATTAGATATTTCATGAAAACTTAAGTGTGATCATCGCACTTTTAAGAGATTTGTGGCTGATTCAGAGCACAGACGGGTTCGTGCAGATATAGGCACAGTGAGGAAGATTTCTGCCAGATCCATGCATCGGATCAAGAGAGCAGCTGCTAAATACCATTACATAGCAGCAAACAGATATTTGAAGCTGCTGGTGCCTCTGGAGTCCCACGAACATCAAGGTGTAGAGTCCTCCAGAGTCTTGCAACTGTGCATAAGCCTTCTATTCGGCCACCACTAACCAATGGTCACAAGCAGAAACGGCTGCATTGGGCAGAAAAATACATGAAGACTAATTTTCAAACAGTCCTGTTCACTGATGAGTGCCGTGCAACCCTGGATGGTCCAGATGGATTGAGTAGTGGATGGTTGGTGGACGGCCACCCTGTTCCAACAAGGCTGTGACATCAGCAAGGTGGAGTCATGTTTTGGGCCGGAATCATGGGAACAGAGCTGCTCGGCCCCTTTAGGGTCCCCGAAGGTGTAAAGATGACCTCTGCAAAGTATGTGGAGTTTATGACTGACCACTTTCTTCCCTGGTACAGAAGGAAGAACTATGCTTTCCGTAATAAAATCATCTTCATGCATGACAATGCACCATCTCATGCTGCAAAGAATACCTCTGTATCAATGGCTGCTATGGGGATAAAAGGAGAGAAAGTCATGGTGTGGCCTCCATCCTCCCCTGACCTCAATCCTATTGAGAACCTTTGGAGCATCCTCAAGCAAAAGATCTATGAGGGTGGGAGGCAGTTTACATCCAAACAGCAGCTCTGGAAGGCTATTCTGACATCTTGCAAACAAATTCAAGCAGAAACTGTCCAAAAACTCACAAGTTCAATGGATGCAAGACTTGTGAAGCTGCTATCAAATAAGGGGTCCTATGTTAAAATATAACGTGACCTGTTAAAATGTTTAAAAAGTTAAAATGTTGTTAAAAGTTTGATTGAAATAGCTTTTGATTTCAGTAAATATGCTGCAAACACAACAAATGACAATTTTCAATTCTGTACAACCTATAAAGTGTTTTGAAACTTACTGTGCGGAATAATTTGGATTTTGCATTGTAAGTGTTTTATGTTTAAAAAAAATCCAGTTATCATTAGGAGGTTTGTTCAATAAAATGTGAATTGTACTCTTAATAGTTGATAACATGAGAATTATGCTGACTGTTATTTACATCAATTATTAGCTAAATGGAAAAAAATATAATTTGCATAATAATTTGGAACATGGTGTATGAATATCTAATACAACATTTATTGATCGTTTTTAGCCTGGGTTCACATATATGCGGTGCGGTAAATCGCATGTGATTCGCACAGGAACCTCACCACATTCCTGTGCAAATCACATGCGATTTGTGTGCGGCGTGATTGGAGCCATACATTTTGTATGGCTCTAATCGCACGGCACCCGCACCAAAAATTTGCAGGACCCTTTTTTTGGTCCGCACTAGATTCGGATCAAATGGGTATTCATACCTATGCAATCCGATTTTGCACATCGCACCGCGGTTTGCGGACCACTTTTAGGGTGTTGTTAACATACACACCCGCAGCGGTTCATATGAACGGGATGCCATTCTGATGCGGTGCGGAATTCCCACAGAAAACGCTGCAAATTCCGCACCTCATCAGTGTGAACCAGGATTTAGTGATATGGGTGTAATTTTATTTATGTATTTATTTATTTATTTCAGGTACTTATATAGCGCCATCAATTTACGCAGCACTTTACATATATATTGTACATTCACATCAGTCCCTAACCCTCAAGGGGTGTACAATCTAAGGTCCCTAGCTTACATTCATACATACACATACTAGGGCCAATTCAGACAGGAGCCAATTAACCTACCAGCATGTCTTTGGAGTTTAATGATACTTTAACTGACTAGACTAAGGCAGGCCATACATTATACAATTTTCTTGAGATTTTTGGTTTAGATTTACCAAAAACCATATAATAGGAAGTCAAACCTAACAGCACTTTCAATTGTATCCAGTTAGGCAGGCTCTTGCGCTACATAGTTGAAGGTAAATCTAAAGGAAATTTGGCAGACATTGGACAAAAAATTGTATAGTGTATGGCCAGCCTTAGTATGTTTGTAAATTAGGGATCTTTGATTGCAAGCTCCTTGAGGGCAGGGACTGATGCAAAGTGCTGTGCTATATAAGTACCTTTAGCAATATTGGGCTATATGTATACTCCTTTTCCTTCGCTCCCAAGTAGTTCAAGAGGCCAGTAGTCTCCAAAACCCATCTTTCTGAAGTCAGAAGAATACACTTAGCATTGAATTGAATCAGGTTAGTGCAGAGGGGGGCCTGGCGGGTCTAATTCCAGGCGAAGGCCTGATCCCCTGATTGATAGTCCACTGCAAAATGCTCAGTCATGAGTGAATTGGTGTTTCTTTGCTGCACAATCTAGGCCAGATGGAATCCTAATAAAATAAGAGGCGCCCGGCCATCGCCATAAATCACCGAACAGGTGGGTTCACAGTAAAAGAATCTCAGTCCTATTCTGTCTCCAATATAAAAGGTTATCATTCATCTTCCGCTGCTAAATGCCATCTATCTTTCATGCATTTGTATTGTGCTGTTGCCGAGTTCCATTACAAAAGCACAATCTATTGTCTTCTGTTTTGTGCCAACATTGCTGAGTGTATCATATCATGGGTTTATTTAGGCTGCGTATTAATCTACTGGAGACAATAGGCCTTAGGCAGGGAGAAAAATGCTGTTTTGACTGCCGATAGTAACTAGACAGCTCCCATCATTTATTCAATGTGTGTTTTGAAAATGAAAGGGGAAGGGCACTTTCAGCAAATGCTATAGCTCACCCAGGGGCGGACTGACAACACATGGGGCCCCCGGGCAATAGGGGATCATGGGGCCCCTGTGTCCTTGCCCAAACGCAAAAAAGTCTATGAAAAAGGTACCAGGGGCATCTCATGGGGCCCCCTACTGACCCCGGGCCCTCGGGCAGTGCCCAGTTTCCAAATGGTCAGTCCGCCCCTGAGCTCACCCTACTCTCCACATCCCTTTAACCTCCTCAGCGGTATGATTCTTTCCGATTTTTTGTGCTGAAAGCGGTACCATTTTTTTGCATGGAAATATGTAGTTTTTTATTGTAGGCTGTAATTTTTAGGAATAACTCACTGAAATCTGTACGAGTCTAGTAAACATCGCGGGTAGGATAAAATTTGAAACGCGAAATCATAAATTATAATTTAATAAATAATCATAAAAAATAATAATATAATAATAAATTTAATTCAATAATATAATCAAACCAAAAACACAGAAATTTGAAATACAGAGGCAAATTCGCACATCACTGAGCAAAGTCGCAAAATCGTTTTCAGTGTCTGATGACGAATTTCCCCACAAATCATTATCACTCAATTCTGCAAGTGGTTCTGATTTACTATCGCTGTTCTCTAGCTGATCTAAAACCGCTTTTGACGTAAAGGGACGCTTTTTGGACGCCATGGACTTTTCTAAGTTTCCAGGCAGAAAGAACAGTCAAAATGTAGGCAGGGCACAGGACAAAGCACTAGGGACAAAATGTATGTGAAATGGGTTGAAACAGCAATGTTTTACTATGTAATAATCGTTAAAAAAAAAAAAAAAATGACATTTTTTAAAAATTTCAAATTTGCCGCCGGTTCCGGCGCCTGTACGTCCCGACGTCACAGGGACCGGAACACGGAAGTCGCATGCCGGCATCGGCCGGAAGAGATGGCTGGGGACGCTGCAGGGGACACATCGCGGGAGCGAAGGACAAGGTAAGTGCTGCAGGGACTCCCTGAGCAACGCCGCATGGTAAGCCCGAGTGTAGTTTCGGGTTACCGCTTTTGGTACTGACATTTTACCACGAGCTACACTCGGGAATACCACTAAGGAGGTTAAGGGTAGTGGGGAAAAAAAATATAGCAAATTAAAAAAAAGTAATATAACATATACAATTGCTCAACAAGACATATTGTCATTTAATATTAGTTAACCACTTCCAGTCCGGACACTTTTACCCCCTTCCTGTCCAGGCCAATTTTCAGCTTTCAGCCTGTCACACTTTGAATGACAATTGCGCAGTCATGCAACACTGTACCCATAAGAATTTTTTTGAGACAGATAAAACTTTATTTTGGTGGTATTTATTCACCACTGGGATTTTTATTCTTTTTGCTATAGAAATGAAAGTCCAAAAAGTTTGAAGAAAAGTGTTTTTCTTATAAAATTTTGCAAATAAATAATCTTCTTCATAAATCTTGGCCAAAATGTATTCAATTATCTTTTAGTAAAACAAATAACCCAAATTAGTTTATAACCAAAAATTATAATTTCTTAAAAATGTTTTTTTACATTTTTATTTTATTTTCTTATATTATTATTTATGTTTTTTTTTTTTTTAACATACTGTCACCCTAGCAGTACAGTGTCACCATAGTGACACTGTACTACTTGTGGGGGGGGGGGGGGTGATGAAGATTTTTTTTTTTACACTGATTGCTTTTACACCCATAAAGGTTGTAAAAACAATCATTTCTATTTCTCTCTGGCTGCATTCTTGCAGCCATTGATAAATACTGTGCGAGCTGTGATTGGTCACAGCTTGTCACATGGTACAAGGCTGTTGTGAATAGCCCTGTACCATGTGACCTCTGTGATCATTCACAGATTTCACTAGCAGTAAGCAATGATGTCAGAAGTGGCATCTTGTTTACTACTGTTCATGTGACCACTGATTGGCCAATCAGTGATCACATGATTGGGACCTCACACAGAAGTCCCGTACAGCAACTGGTCCTGGACACAGCGGGCACCAAATCGTGGTGCCGTGCGCTCCCAGGGAGAGTGCACAGGCCAAAATGGCGGGCGCCATTTATGAACGGCAACCCGGTCCTGCACTGCTCCCATCCGGCCATTTATATACTTGGGCCGGACGGGAAGTGGTTAAAATGACCTGTCCTTTTAAATCTGCAGTGCTGTAACTCTGTACAGTTCAATGCAATATGGCATCCTGGAGGTGTTCTGTACCCAGTTGGTGTACAGAACTTCCCCTGTAAAAGTCATTTCCAGCTTGTGTGATTGGCGTATCGATTTTCCCAGAGTTCTGCACTATGCTACTGTAAAAGTCAGATTTTAGGTACCCTCTGCAAAATATTTAATTTTTCACAAGATACACTCAATGGGTTAATTACTTCTAAAGGGATGCTGACACTGCAACTTTCCTCATTAGAACACTGCAATGGCATCAAATGATCAACCGCTTTAGTGCCACCTATAGGGTGTCAGCGGTGTGCAAAATCACGTGTATATATAAATATATATATATATATATATATATATATATACATGATTTTGCATGATTTTGTGGGTAGGGGGAGTGCGTGAGCCGCCACTCGCAGCCTCGGCTGTCAATCACTGTGCCCCAGCCAGTGATTACTCACCGACTCCCGGTGATTGCTAAGTATCTCCGATGGGGGGGGGGAGAACTGTTTGTAAACAAAACAGTTCTCTCCTCTGTCAGCTCCTGCACACTGCTTTGCATGGCTCTGCATTGCACAGCCATGCAAAGTAGTGTGCTTACAGTGAAGCACAAACACAGCCCAGAAAGTAAAACAGCACACAGTTAACCCTTTGATCATCCCTCATGTCAACCCGTTCCTGCCCAGTGCCATTAGTACAGTGTAAGTGCTTTTTATCAGCACTAATCACTGTATTGGTGTCACTGGGGATGTCAGTGACACCAAGTCAGTTCCCCCCAGTGTCAGAATGTCCACCGCAGTCCCGCTATAAGTTGCTGATCGCCACCATTACTAGTGAAAAAAAAAAAAAAAAAACACGTTTTGGGATTTTTGTTTAGCAAAGACAAGTAACAGAATACATTTTGGCCTAAATTTATGATGAAATTTGATTTTTGAATTTTTTTTTTACTGGACATGTTTAGTACTGCAAAGTCAAAAAATATTGTTTTTTTCTCAAAATTGTTTATAGAGCAAAAAATAAAAACCACACAGGTGATCAAATACTACTGAAAGAAAGCTCTATTCATGGGAAAAAAGGACGACAATTTAATTTGGGTGCAGCGTTGCATGACCGCGCAATTGTCCGTTAAAGTAACACAGCGCTGTAATGCAAAAAATGGCCTGGTCAGGAAGGGGGGTAAATCCTCTGGAATGCAAGTGGTTAATAATGAAAAAGTAATTCCCATTCAGATGCATTCTGCACACAATGTTTCTTTCTTCAAAGCAAAAATGGGTAGAATGTATATCAGTCACCCAGTAGGGATTGTTTTTTTCCTCAACAAAAAGTGGAGTAACCCTTTAACAAATTTTAAAGTGACCCTGTTGCTTTATAAAACACATTCAACTTAGTCATTTCGGTCAAATACAGCAGAGGGAATTCAATAAAGCCCCAACAATACTTTTCTGACTGTGTGCCCCTTTAAAATTAAAAAATCTGCTGCCTCTTTCCGTAGCTTTTCCATTCCATGTGGCAGATTCAGGTAGTTCTTAACAGCACTATTTTTATTAAGTGCCGCTATTAATACACCATATTCATAAATATTACACCCAGTTTGTAGATTGCAAAACTGGAGGTAATTAGGACTAACTCTAGCTTGGTATACAGTGACAGGCAGAGTGCCTGTCTCTGTACGCTTTGTAGGAGGCGACGTGTGTTGCTGCTAACACCTCCCCTCCACACCTGTCACTGGTTGTCAAGGATGCTGTCCTCTTTTCTTGTGATTGACAGCAGGCAGTGGATTGATTCTTTAGTCAATAGAAGGCTATCTATTAGTATGGAATCCATCCACTGCTTGCTGTCAGTTAGAAAAGAGAGCAGTCCTCATGGGGGATTACATTAATATCTCTAAATCACCATCAGGCTCTGCTCACCCAGCTTTCAGAATACCCAATACTGCATCTGATAGCTGCGGCTGTGCAGGGGAAACTCAGCAGCACTAAGGATGGGGTGTCCGTATGGCCACTTTAGTCTCAGTGCTCCTCTGCACATGTGATGTTTTACAACAGGTACATAAATCTGCAGCTCGCACCAACATTTATTGTGCAGAGGCACAGTAGAATCCTAAAAAAACACAGGAGGTGCTTGACAGCCTGAGCTGTGCATGTTTCTCTATAAGACTTTGTACAGGAGGTGTGTCCTTTCCCTCCACTCAGCTCTCAGAATACACTCAACTGGTCTAGGCTGTGCAGTGTGATGTCAGATCCTTGCCCCTGCCTGCTAGAGCTCAGAGATGCTGTGTAAAATGTGTGCTTTAGTGGGCTGCCGAGAAGAGATGGCTGCAGATAAACAGGGACAACTTAGTAGGAGGATTTGTTTTATCTCATTAGCATTAGTAAATAGTTTTATCCAATTAGCATTAGTATACAGATGGGAAAGTATATTGTATAAACTTGTTTTAAACTTTTATTTTACACTTTTTCAGTTAGTTCCTGGTCTTAAAAGCCTAAGCAAATTATGTCACACATCCTAGGAGTCTTCAGGAGGGGAGAAGGGGTTTTCTTAGCTTAGTGCACCCTCCTGCCTCTACGCCTGAGCTAAGGGCAGATGGATTCCAGGAAGTAAATGTTACATGAATCATCTGTCCTTACTCAAAATGGCCATGGACAGAAATGCTAGGAGGTTGTTTACAAAGTGTTTTCTCAGCAAAATAAAGCATGGAAATATGGGTGGATGGATGACATTGAATATTAAAAATTAATTAAATAGTGTTTTTGGTTTGTTGTGCTTAGTGTAGTCCTGCTTCAAGGCTCCATGCACACGGGGCATTTTAATAAGGCTGGTAACGTTAGCTGTGTAAAGTCACGTTAAAAACGTGAGTTTTTCAGCGTTTCTTAGCGTTTTTGCATTAGCGTTTTGCCGAGTTTGCGTTTTTAACCATTAGCCGCCCGGCCAATGACCATTTGGCGGCTTCAGATGTGCCTCTTCATTCCGTGTGCACGCCATTTGGCGTGCTCCCGCACATGCGCCATTTGCGGTAATGCAGAGCGGCGCAGCAGCGGGATCTGTCACGGGCCGTGCACCTCGGACACGGCCGATGACAGATCCGAGTACCGGCTCCCGTTGCTGGTACCATGTGACCTGCTGTGACCAATCACAGCAGGTCACATGACAGTTGTATACAATGGATGGCTTCATTCATGATGCCATCCATTGTATACTAGTGCCTAGCTGTGAATGGTCACAGCTAATCACATGCACATGTCATGTGATTAGCTGTGACCAAATCACAGCTAAGCACAAAAAAAAAAGAAAAAAAAAAAGCTGAATGAATCGATTTCATTCAAGGTAAATGCTTGCTTATAGCAAAGTAATTCTTTGCTATAAGCAAATTGTGTAAAAAAAAATAAATAAATACTGATCACTTCCCCAAAGTAGTACAGTGTTACTATGGTAACATTGTACTACTTTGGTCATAGTAAAATATGAAAAAAAAATCTTAAAAAAAATAAAAAAAAATGTAATAAAAAATTAAATATAATAAAAAGAAAGAAAAAAAAATATATATATATATATTTTTTTTTTCATACTGTCACCAGTCAGTGTCCCTGTTAACCGCCATGCCAGTTATATGATGATGCTGTACTGCACTGGTGACAGTATGTAAAAAAAAAAATAGTGAAAATAAATTTTTTAATTTTTTCATTTTCCGAAAAATTATGACATAAAAATACAACTTCAAAAAAACTCGCCATGCCTCTTATGAAGTACGTCGGACTGTCTACTCTGCAAAAAGGGGTCATTTGTGGGATATCTGTACTGTTCTGACATTCTTGGACCTCAAGAAATTAGATTGGCTGTCAGTACTTCAGGATTGATCAATATTCAGATCTATACCATAGTTTGTGAACTCTATAACTTTCCTACAAACTAAAAAATACATCCTAATTTGGGTTATTTTCACCAAAGACATGTAGCAGAATACATCTCGGCCTAAATGTATGAAGAACAATTATTTATTTGTAAACTTTTATAACAGAAACAAAGAAAAATGTGTTTTTGTTTCAAAATTTTTGGTCTTTTTTTGTTAATTTAGCAAAAAATAAAAACCCCAGCGGTGATTAAATACCACCAAAAGAAAGCTCTAGTTGTGTGAAGAAAATAATAAAATTTTAGTTTGGGTACAGTGTTGTATGACCGCGCAATTGTCATTCAAAGTGTTAGAGCGCTGAAACCTGAAAAATGGCCTTGGCAGGAAGGTGTAAAATTGCACGGTATTGAAATGGTTAAGCTTTCTTTTTTACCAAAAAAAATATTTTTTTGCTCAAAAAACATTTTGTTGTGGGGTGTATTTATTTTTGCATCAACTAATTTGAGTAAATCAAAAGATTTTGTAATCTAAATTATATTTATAACCTTACTTTCATGTAATGAGCTAAACAAATGTTCTATAAAACTCAGCTTTGTTAAAATTTTGGAAATAGTTCTTGTGTTGAGTGAGATATTGATTAAAATCCTACTTTTCAAAAAGGGGTGTACTCATTTATGTTGAGCACTGAATTCTATGTGTTCATGCACACTATTGTCAGTTGGAAGCGTTTTCAAACTTCAGCTTCTAGGAGCAGAAAACCCCCTTTTTTTTTTTTTTTTTTTTGTTTTTTGGAGCGATTATTTGCCAGCAGAAAAAAAAAGGTGAACGCTCCTAAACAATCCTGCAAGACAGCTGAAAGTAAGTAAAAGAATCGGCAATTAAAATTTGGAAAAAAAAACAGCATGGGGGTCCCCCACAATGCATACCAGGCCCTTCGGGTCTGGTATGGACTTTAAGAGGAACCCCACACTAAAATGTAAAAAAAAAACGGCATGGCGTTCCACTGGCGGAGCTGTCAGACATGGGTGCCAGCATTGGATTCAGACCTGTTTTTTTTGGGTGGGGGAGGTCAGCTGGGTCAGGGGGGTCAGCTGCGGCATTTATCATGGTGAATAAGTAGGGGTACAATGTACCACATACACATTCACATTGGGGGGGCCAGATTCCAATAAGCCCCCTGCCCACAGACCCCCTACAACTACCAGGCCAGGGTTGCGGCGAAGAGGCCCTTGTCCCCATCAACATGGGGAGAAGGTGCCAAAGCACCCCCCCGTGTTGAGGCCATGTGGCCTGGTATAGTTCAGGTTAAATTTGGCGTGGGCTTCCCTTCAAAATCCATACCAGACCTAAGGGTCTGGTATGGATCTGGGGGGGATCCCACACCATTTTTAAAAAACAAGGTTAGGTGTGGGGTTCCTCTTGAAATCCATACCAGACCAGAAGGGCCTGGTATGGATTGGGGGCGATCCACACACTTTTTTTTTTTGTTTGTTTACGTTTTCATTGCTGGGGATTGTTTTGTTTACATTCAGCTGTCAGTGGGGAACCCTGCTGACAGCTGATGACTCATCCGTTGTTAAGGACACGGCGGCCAGCTTGCCTGCTGATCCTTAAAAAATGCTAGCTCTCCCAAATACTTTTTTGCTAAACTCTGCAAATACGCCGGTAAAAAAAAAACACTAATATTAGTGTTTTTTTTTTTTTTTCCAGCATTTTTTCTAGCAGTTTTTGAAGCTGCTAATATGCATGGAGCCTTCACTTTATTGTACATAGTGCACCAAGTGCCACGTTTTTAATCTCTCGATACTGGCATGTTTCTTCATTTCCCAAAAATTCTGGCAAAAAAAATCAGACAACTATTATATATCTACTTTCCAAAAAAGGGGTCTCATATTGGGGGTTTTTGTACTGTCTTGGCATTTTTATTTGCTGTGTTTTAAAATAAAATTTAAGGAAAAGAGGTTTTTTTTTCAAATATTTTGTTCTTTTTATATAGTAAAAAATAAAAACCCTAGTGATTATTAAATGCCACAAAAAGACAAGCCCTACCTGTCTTAAAAAAGATATACAATTTATGCCTTGGTTGCCTTGTGGTAAATACACCCCTGATGGATCCCACCATGAGCATAATGCAGCACGTTCTACCATTTTTTCCTTCACGTGAAACCTGGAACTGACTGCGCTGATGTACTGGGTCCATTTGAATACATGGAAAACGCTTTGCATGCATTTCTGATGATGAAAAAGGGCTCTGGACAGCATTTGGATATGGAACAGTTAAACGCTTCTAAACGCAAATGCTTATAAACGCGGTTAGCTGCGTTTACACAAGATTACAAGCATTTAGCATTTGAAACGCTGATAAAATCTACTCCTGAATGCAAGCTTGGTGCGTTCAAAAAAACTCAACTGCCTGTAAATGACAGTGTACATGGACACATAGGAAAACATTAGGGAGACTTCAGGGCTGCTGAAAAAAAAAAAACGCAGAAAAGCTCCTAAACGTGAGTTTATCAGCCGCAGTGTACATGAGCCCAAAAAGCGCACACGCACACTTTCTGCAACACAAAGAAGAGTAAATCCCATCTACATTGTATTTTTAGCTAACGCTAGCCCGAACGGTGATTGCAGAGACATATTTTTCCTTTCCGGGAAGCATATGTAACCGCGGCCTACATGAGACATCCTAAGTGGTGTAATGGGCATTTTATTTGTTTTGCTTTGGCAGAACTGGTTAGGTATAATGCAGCTATTACTGTTGTCAGCACCAGCTGTAGCTGAGGTAGAAATCAGCCTGACGTCTGTCATTGCTGAACTGCCCCGAGCTCCAACATCTGATGCTCTGTTGAATACAAACCACACGGTGCATTACATTCAGCCGTATACTATGCAAGGCAGAAGACTCATTTTCATTGTGCAGCTTTTATTTCTTTTCTAGAGAACAAAAGAAAATTTAGTGTGCGTGTATAAAACAAAGGTGGGTGTTAATTGGCATAAAGAAAATTTCTGGACTGCAGCTTGGACCAACCATTTCTCAACTCATACATCTGCCAGAAGGGCTGCTGTGTTTCAGTTTAACTTCCTCAGTTCCGGCACTGTTCAGTTTTTTTTATCAGGCCATTTTTCAGTTTTTAGCATTGTGATAATTTATATTAATTTCCACAATGTACAGTATATCAATTATATCTGGTAAACTTACTTTGTGAAGACTCACACACATTTACTTTCTTGAATTCTGTGACGCATAGTCATTATGCCCTGTGAGTAGGCACTGCTGTGTCACACATTTCACAGAGCCGGCTTTCTGAACTACAGAGATGATGTGAGGAGGAGTTTTAGGAGGCGATACAGAAATCACTGCTTGCAAGCAGCAAGGTACCATGGGATATGTAATCCTTAGAAATTGAAGATAAACAGGCACAAGCATGCAGTGAGTTCAAGAAGTTGTGAAAAGCAATGGCATGCAGACAGGCAGTACTCACAACATGAAAGGAAATTTTCATGCAAGTTTTTACATAAATAAATAATATCTGATTATTGCAAGCACCCTTGCCAGTGGTAAATGGTTTGCTTCAACCCTCTGCTGGGGGAGGATATAAATGTTTGGGGACTGGTCTGGTGAGCTCTCTTCTACCTGGGCTGTGGGGAGGTGTGTGCAGTGGTTTGTGCTGAGTAGGTATCACGTACCTGGTAAGACTGACACATTGTGGAGGCCTCTCTTGCACCTCCTATCTAACACTCCTAAAGGTGGAGACAGACAGTGTAAGGGCACGAATGCCATAGCAGCTGGCTGTAGGTGTCCACTCTTTAGGTGGGTCGAGCTGGTAGTCCTCAGAACAGGATGCAGGAGCAGCTTGGCACCGGAGCAGGTGATGGAAGCAGAAGGAAATGGGCAGCAGTCAGCAGCAACTGGGCAAAGCAGGTCCAGAAGACAGGCCAAGGTCAATAACAGCCAGGCAAAGCAGTAAAGAATTAGCAGGCCAAAACAAGTCCAATAAATAGGCCTGAGTTCAGACTAATCAGGCAAACAGAGTTGAGGCAGAAGCTGAAATGAAGTCCAAGAGCAAGCCAGGTCATGCACAGGTAAGCAGGTACAGCGGATGAGGCTTCAGGACCACAGGAACAAGCTGAAGACAATTCAGCAACTGCTCATAGTGAAAGACCAATTTAAAAAAGCCACTGAGCGCCAAGTACGCCTGCCAATTGGTATGTGGATGTGTGCAATGCACACGTGCATGAGCAGACGTTCGCACTGGTTTTCTGGTACTGGGAGTCTGGTTTACCTTACAGTAGGCCAGAAGCCTGTTTGGGGCCAAACTCAGAATCCTCAAGCGCCCTGCCTGGTCAAGGAGAGTAAAGCACCCAAAATGGAGAAACAGAGAAAGGAAGTCCTGCTGGTGTGGGAATTGAGTCTGGCCTCAGAGGA